TTTGACCGGATACGGTACGCCTGATTAGGCGGCGCGAACACGCGCGAAAGCTGTTGCTTCAGCTGATCCCAAGTGGGAAATGCAGCGTCAACAGACGTGCCGCACGTTAGTGCCCATTCGCGAGCGCGACCTCCAAGCCTGGAGATAGCCAGCGCCACGCGCTGATGCTCAGACTGGAGCAGGGCCGATCCCATGGCCATCTCGACCTCACGGGTCCAGAGAAGGAGATTCTCTCCATCCTTCCCCTCGAAGGTTTTTACGCTCACCATGAGCGGTTTCAGTCTCATAGACTCTTCACGCGTCATCGACGCCGCCGCCGTTGCGGCGCTCATCTTCTCTTGGACATGCTTCAAGAGCGCGTTCTCGTAGCGGGAGAACGATTCCAGCCTGGCAGTGACCGCCTCTGGACCTTGCGATGCAAGATGAGCCACGCCCTCCGGGCCAAGCAAGGACATAAGCTTAGTAAGCGCGTCCTGCTGCGCCGGGGGCAAATTCGCGAACACGGGGTGTTCCATCCTCGCAGAGGATATAGTCAACCGACTCAGGAGCGGGATTGACTACAAGTGCTACCAAGTGCAGCGGGGCTGCCGTAGCTTTAGCGTCAGAGGAAGACGTTCGACTCAAAGAGTCACTAATACTAAGTTCCTTATCCAAAGGACACTTACAGCCCAAGACCAGGGCTCAAAGTTAACACCTTAACTTTTATACTTCAAAACCAGAAGTGTTTTATTTACTATTATTGCGGCCAAGCCGCCTAGGGGTAAATGTATCTCTTTAACTATCTAGCATAGTTAAACCTAATCAAATGCATAACGTGTGGCTTTCAGCCAACGTACTGAGAGACCTTGTTAACTCTCCAACTTATGTACTGAGAGTTTGTTAACTCTCCGGGTACTTCGTACCCCTGTGTGCTCCACACCATGTAACCCCGTTACACTTTGCCTCAAACAGCTCTTTGGTGCTGCACAGCACGTTCTCCCGAGTGTGGAGTGGTGCGTTGGCCAAGTCCTCTCCGTATTGATTAGAGCGGAAACTTACAGAAGTTACTGCTAGCAACTCCATATGAAGGCGTCTCATGTACTCGGCATGTGTTGGGACTCTATCTCATTTCCGCTTCACGGCCAGCTTGTGCAGGATGAAGCCGTTCACCACTGCCATGTCGACAAAAGCTAGAAATAGCTGTCGATAGTACTTTTTGAACGCTACACATCTCTGGATAGAGTAGCGTTGCAGGCGGATCTGGTCAGGGGTATACAGCAACTAGCTGCGGGCATTGAACTTGCGTGACGGCCCCCGTCCTTTTGTCCTTCTTTGACATACTGTGAATCACCCTGTGGCGATCATATGAGCAGGGCTCGAGTCCATCCATGCGGCAGCAACAAGCTCTGGGTATTGTCTGGCTTGGGCAATCCTGTACGTTCCTCGAGGCATGGACTGCGGTTTCTTCTTCTGCTTGAACATGAGCTCTTTGGGCCACCCCGGTCGGTCGCTTCGTTGCGTCCCAACGTAGTAGAACCCCAGTGGTAGAAGTGAAAGTGCCAGCGCAGGTGAGCTGTAGAAGCTGTCGGCTATAATTAACCGCTGCTTCGGTAACCCATCAAATGCCTTGGTGATATTGCGGATGGCTACCCTTTGGGATGCGCCTTCGCTCTTCTTCTTGGTTTAGCACCAAGATAAACTTCAACTCTGTAGTATACAGTATAACAAAAAAGGTAGCATTGGTAGTTAGCAAAACGGAATTGAGACAGAATATGACAAAATACAAGATTTCGTATTCTGTCGGAAACTGAACACAATACAAACCTCGCGCAGTACCCACTGACGGCCCAGCAAGTCATGTCCCATACTTGTGGGGCTTCCTCTTGTTGTAAGTCCGTATAGGATTGTATTGACTTCGATTAGGGATTGTTCCCTCGTCGAAGCTTACACGTGGACCGAGACAATATCCGCGACGAAACGTTTTCTCGATCACCTGCAAAATGGGGCGGATATGGAACGCCTTCGTGTCTCCGCTGGTGGTGCTTGTAAAATGGAGGAAACGAGTTATTGTTCGAATCTCTTGCGCTTCATGTACCTTCCAAAGGTTCCCCAGGGAACGGCACCTTCTTCACTGATAGCCCAATGCTCCGGCAAGCCGTCCTTATATACGCGCCACCAACAGCGCAATTACGTGCAAAATCTCGTGTTTTTGAATTGACTTCTGCCTTTCAAGCTTGTCAACGATGTCTTCTAGGGTTTCCACGGATTTCTTAGGGTCCTTAGCTTGGGCTGCAAGCTGAGGTTCACATGTCTGCTGTGCGATCGCTGGAATGATTTTTCTCCGATAGGCTTCAGACGCCAACGCAATTTTCTTCCACAATGACTTGGGCAAAAAGTAAAAGAGCATTCCAATCGATGACTCAGCAAAAACGCTGACTTGCGTCCTCAAATTCCGGGTCTGACTCCACGTCATCCACATATTCCTCTTCATCGATTTCGTGCCCGTCAAAAACCGAATCCTCGTCGTCTGACTCGGCACTGCACAGGAACGACTCGTCACCAATATTGACATCATCTACATCAACTGGACCAAAGAGATTCTCAGCACGGAAGACCTCCATAAAGTCATCTCGATCAAATTCAGCTAGACCCGGCTCGTCGTCATCTCTAGCACATGCCTCTAGACCCGGTTCGTCGTCAGGCTTTAGTTCCTCCTCGAAACTTGCAGCCCCACCGCCAGCATTTGTATCCTCAATAGCAATTTGGCTCGTATCAACAGCGTTATTAGCACCTTGTTCCGTAGCAGCCATAATAGGGGTTCCCACCGTAACCCCTTGTTCTGTAGCAACCATATTAGCAGTCGCCACCATAGCTTCTTCTGTAGCTGTCATATTAGCGGTCGCCACCGTAGCTTCCTCTTCTGTTGCAGCCGGATTAGTGGTTTCCACCGTAGCTTCTTGATCTGTAACAGCCGGATTAGCGGAGTCGGCATAAGGTTCTAGTTCAGGTGTTGGCGGCTCAGGCTGGCGCCGTCGAACGGCAGCATACGCTGCTAGTTTCCTCATTGGGGGCTTCATTGCAGGCGTCGAACCAATTTGACGAGGTGGAGGTAGAGGTATCAAGCATTCCTGCATTGCGTATGCCCAAAGCGCCTTAGGCCTAAAACGTTTACAAATAGTCAGTAAACTAGTTTGTACAATCGTAAACCACCAAACATACCGATGAAATAGTCAATATCGACCTTGTCCTGGCGTAGCTTGCCTTTAACACCCGGCTTGACGTATGTATGGTCTGAGCTGAGGCCTGAAGGGCGTCTTGCCCGCCACCCCGCCTTGACGAGAGAGCTTTACAAGCGCTTGAACTCCCTAAGGTCAATCCAGTCCGTCATTTCGAAATGAGTGGCGTGAAAGGTGAGGCAGGGGATGCGATAAAGGGCTTATGATAGGATTTCGAAACCTGTCACTCATTTATACATCCTTTTCTATGGTTGCAGGAAAATGCCCGTCTATCTCCCCAACTCTCATATATAATGATAAAAAGCCCCTCACTCGCCAATACAAACAGTTATATGCGGGGAATCTTCTTTTACCTTCTTGCTTTTAACCTTTCAGCATATTTAAACCTGCAATATTCCTTCTTCTGTCAAATACAGAATACGGCCTTTATTGGGTTAAACTATCGATTACAACTAATATAGCAAACACCACCGACAGTAAAATGAAAAAATGTACGTAGTGGAATTTGGTCGATTTTGAGAACTTACCGTTGGGCGTCAAAGTAATTATGATATCTTTAAAGCATGTTTTAGTTTTTTTTTTAAATCCGCTAAAATCATCCATGTCCACGATAAAGAAAACTGCTACCTTTCTTAAGTAGCTTACTTGATTCAGAATGTATCTGTCTGAAGCATATGCCCGGTCACTTAAAGCCCCCTAAAAATATCAAAGTAAAGGTTAGATGTCTTACAATCGGTGCCATCTCTCGCTACTACTTGAATTTAAATACTGGGAGTAATTTACGGAGCTTGAGTCACTTTCTGTGTCATGCATGCCTTCTTCGAGGCGAGTCTGCGCGACAGATAGAGCTGCCTAATTTATTTAGCGTGATTTTGGAGCACGAAGGCTGGCAGAATGCCGAGCGTTAGTTATGATTTGGGCGAAGTCTCGACAAATCATTTAGGCTGACGTGAGTTTGGTTCTTGTATTGTACATCGGAATGTTAACGTTTGTCCTGTCCTGTTATAGCAGTTGCGATTTATTTGTGTTTCCACTGGTGTATACAAAAAGAAGAACTTCCAGACTTCCTAGCTCCTGAAAGGTGTTATAATGTCAAAGTTCTGAAGTCTGGCAAAGCCAGATCGACTGCAATGATTAACCGTGTACATTACGATGCCACTGACAAGGATTTCACGGCGAAACCTCACGCGGCCCGAGGGTCAGGTGCTAGGATGGCTGAGCTAGCTAAGGCTACAGAATCTCAAATTAGAAGGTTAGGACGATAGAATACGTCAGCGATGGAGGGGTGTTACCTGAGTGTATTGCCATGCGTTCCCTCGCGGGATTCTCACCAGAGAGATACACGTTTTCCCCAGAGCAAGCAGCTCTTGATCCGTTTGCAAATTAACCGCGTGAAGTATTCGTGTTTGTGGAGAATTAATTTGCGCCATACAAGCAGTAGCTAGCATCTCACGTGGCGATAGGAACGTTTTTAGGCTTATTATGTTGAGAATTACACTTCTTGATCGAATGGCCAATGCCTCACACTTAAAGAGGAAAAGGAAAAATGAGATTAAGTTCGTTAGTGCTGATGTTCTCTGAGGTTCGTCAATCCTTTAAGCGCGCTGTATCAGCTTCTCAAGCTGAGTCCCATCGCTCCTTCTTTCACTTTACTCTCAACAGCACTACTGAGCGTATCTTTGATACACAGGGTCTCGTAGCTGCTAACTTTTGTCATCCGCTGACGTACAAAGCCCTTAGCTGTTACATAGACGATATGCATTCCAACACGCCTTTCTCAAAGTGCAAGCTTTGACATCCAGGATGCACTTCGTCGCGCATTAGTCAGTCCTTGGACAATCCAATACCAACAGTCACCAACAATGTCTTCAAACGTTGTTTGTCCAGGGGCATAGTAAATACATCAGCAGGATTGTCGTTGCCATTCACCTTGTGCAACACAATCGTTTCTTTCTGCACTTGCTCCCTCACAAAGTGTCATCTCAGCTCAATGTGTCTAGTGCGTCGACTATAGGTAGGATCGGTAGCCAAAACGTGAGCTGCTTGGTTATCGATTCCAAGCCTGAGCTCCACTTCTTTCTTCGGTAAAATCTCTTGCAATATGTTGCTTGACGCAACAGCTTCCATAGTTGCTTCACATGATGCAACATATTCAGCTTCCGCCGTAGGGAAAGCAGCAATTGATCGATGTCGGGACATCCAAGAAACAGCGCCACCCGCAAGGATGAATACAAAGCCCGTCGTACTCTTACGTGACCCCGGATCGTTAGCCCAATCGCTGTCGCAATATCCTTCGATCACTACTTTGCTTGTTATGTCCTCTTGACGCGACCTCTCGTCCGTGATTTCACGCTCCATGGTACTGAGTAAGTATCTAAGTACCCATTTTAAGGCACCAACATGTTTCGCTGAAGGCTTCCCAGCAAATCGACTCAATTGACCAACAGCGTATGCTAAATCAGGTCGAGTCCCTGTAGCTAGGTACATAGGCATTCCAATTGCTGTACGATACTTGAAACTTGTGTCGGTCTCGTCGTTCTGCTTTAGCGGTACCAATCGATCATTAGTCTCCATTGGGTTGCCCACTGCATGTCCGTGTTTACCCAAAAGTCTCCAAACTTTCTCGTGCACATTTACTTTGACGAATGGTAATGCTCTCAGCAGTTTGTTCCACTTCAATATCCAAATACTCAGTCAACAAGCCTTGCTCCTTGCTTCCGTATGCTTCAACGAGTTCCTTGAAGAAGTTCTTCTTCTTAAACTCGTCATTCGTCGCCACCACAATGTCATCCACGTAAATCAAGACCAACATAATGGTTTCACCGTCAAAACAGTAATAAAGGCACGGTTCCGTCATTGATCGCTGATATCCGTGTTTTAGCAGCCAATTATTCAGCGCTGAGTTCCACTCACGTCCCGGTTGCCTTAGACCATACAACGCCTTCACCACGACATACATCGGACCATCAATTTCGCATGGAAACCCATCAATCGACTTCAGATACTGTCTTATTCTGAGTAGTGCGTTGAGGTAAGCCGTGTTAATGTCTCCGCCATATAACGCAAGGTGTAACACAGCGGCCAATGCAATCATCATGCGGAAAGATGACATACGTGCCACAGGTGAGAAAGTCTCGCAAAAGGCAATTCCTGGTCGCTGGTGATTGCCAAATGCAACAATGCGAGCTTTGAACCGGATAACGTATTCTTGATGATCCGACTTAAGCGCATAAACCCGTCTGGTATTTATAGGCTTCGCGTCCTTCGGAACATCCGCCACCGCAATTTCTTCAATGACACCTTTCAACTTTAATGCTGGTATTTCTTCTAACTCACTTTGTCTCCAGAAATCAGCAAATCGGGCGGCATAGCCTCCCTATCATTCTTCGGGATCTTCATGCTGCTAGCTCGAATAGGTCTGTCATTCTTATCCAAAATGCATGACGTGTGCTGAACAGCATTCACCACATAATCATCTAAGTGAGTAGGACGGCGACGTTCTTAACGCTCACGTAATCCAGTACGTGTACGCTTGGGTTCTTGGTTGTCAGCATTTGTTCAACTCGTAGCTCTTCCGATCGTGTTTCATCACGTTGAGTCCGTCTCCTAATGATCTGCTACTCGCATCAACTACTTCAAGATTTGATCGTGGGTTTGCAACTTCATCATGCATGTCGTTCGATTCAACATGATTAATCTCATTGATCGAAGCAATCGTACTTGCAACAGTAACGCCTTCATCAACTTTACCATCGTAGTTTATTGAGTTGTCTTCTTCATCCTCAAGTTCTTCATCCTCCTTGAGAGAACCACACTCTCCGATGACCGAATCACTTGCATCACAAGTCGTATCAGACTTTTGTAGAACTTCACTATTTCATGACGAGCTCAACTGTTCTGGTTCTACAACTCGTTGATTCAGTTCACAATCATTGGTTTCTGGAACACTAACATCTGAAGCTGGCATGTGAACACTCACCAATTGAGCAGTAATACCTTCAATCTGATGCAGTGTCTTTTTCACTTGCAAGTGCAGTTTTCTCACAATGATCATCGCTCTGCTTATTAAACAATATCATGACTATCATTCACAACAGGAGCTGCATAATCCACGCCTCTCTCGAGATTCATGGATTCCAAATCCATAGTCTCACTTAAACCGAACACTCGACGTCGCCTCCAACTCCATAGTTGCGTCTGACCCGTCGATGCTGGATTCTCTGTCCTCACTACTGCTGTAGTTTCTCTTAACACTTCAAAACGCAGCAATTCAAGGTCTTCACCTTCTGCATTTGGAGTGTCGTGACGATCCTTGTACGTCACCTCTTCCGAAACGCTCAATTCTGACACAAACTTGGCAGTGCGTTCATCTTACAACCCACAACATCTTATGCGTAAAGTAAGAACAAATCCAGCCTTCGCATTGCCGTGGTTTTCACGGCGTTTCGGTGACACAGGAACGTGTACGTACGCCAAAGCTCCGAACTTGCGAATGTGATGAATGTCAGGCTTCATCCCGAACATCATCTCGTACATTATTCCCTGCGTTTCTTTGCTAAACACTCGGTTCTTAATGCAGACAGCGTTTCTGAATGTTTCTGACCACAAAAGCTGGGGGAATCCAGCTTGGTGAATCATTGCCTTATTCATCCCAATGATCGATTGATGAGTCCGCTCACAAAGGTTCAATTGAGAGCTGTTGGTTCATACCAGTACATGCTCAATTCCATGTGCATTGTACCAAGTCACCATCTCTCGGTTAATGAATTCACCACCTTTATCCGATAACACTTGCTGGACCATGTATTTGATGCGTCCTCCATCACGACTCTGTCGACTCGCTTGCCGTTCGGCCCACATCACAAATTTCATGATGTGGTTATTGATCACAATGCTCAACTTGCTAGTCAACAAGTGCACCGTAACAAAACATGAGTAGTTTGTTACGGTGCACGTGTTGACTAGCAAGATAACGGGACTAAATAAGAAGCGGTGTTTGTCATTATGGATGACAAGCACCGCTTCCTATTTAGTCCCGTTATGGATGACATGCACCGCCTCTTATTTAGTCCCGTTAGCCTTGCTTGCGATCAATAGATCGACGTACACCATCTGGTTTGGAACCTTGGACTTCCGATCAATTTTCTTCTTTTGTGATTTCTTTTTTTGCTTCGCAATATGACACGCTTCACAATTACCAAGTTGTCTCTGGCGTAACATCATTCCACGTACCAAACCTTTGCCAACCATGGATTTCAGATACTGCGGACGCGTGTGCGCAAGCCTTTCATGCCATAATTGTAACGAAGCCACACCCTCAGCCGTAGTAAAATTGCATATCCTGCCATTTTGAGGCGCAACAATCCCACTTGTTTCTGGACGATTCACAAAGAAACCCCATGTATACCCATACGGTGCTGCAACGAACACAGTTACCCCTTTTTCCATCACTCTGAATGTTCTTGTTTCATGCTCATAATCAAAGTCCAAACCTTGTTCTGCAGCAAGTCCTAGTGAGAACAAGCTATGTTCAGCTCCAGAAACGTAGAATACATCATTGAGGTAAAGTACAACTCGTTCGCCATCAACTTCAGTAACTACAGCAACTGTACCAGCGCCAGTGATCTGTGACGCCATTGCTGGAGTCACACCATGCACGCTTTGGGATTCACTCGTGTCTTCCACATAGTAAGACCGATTTCCGGTCAAATGGATATCAGCAGCAGTATCAAAGAACCACCATCCCCCAGGGGTATCCGTGGATGTACCAATGTCAGCATGTCCATCATCTTGGTTATCCACTTCAGGATCATCACGATTGTGTTCCTTTACTTCTGCATCAATTCCGGCGTCAACCATCATCACACCTAACGTGTCAGTCACGACTCCACCTTCAATGTTTACTTGTCCAGGTTTTTTGGCGGCACATTAACACTTGAAGTTTGTTGAAAAAGTGTGACTTGCCCTCGAGGTTTGCGCTTCGTCTCAGTAACGGTAGTTCCACCACTTGCTGGAGTCTTCGATCGTCCAGAACATTCAGATTTGAGGTGCTTCGTACTCTCACAGATGTAGCACTTCCTTGGCTTTCTCTGTTTACTCGAGTCCTTGGACTCGTCCCGATGCTGACGTCCAGTCTTCATGCCAGTCTTTCTCCTTCGCATATGCCTGATTTCCTCCAGTCCTTCGCATTTGCCTGATTTCCTCCAGATTTTTTTTTACTCCCACGATGGATTCCACCATCTTTCGTTCGGAACCCTTTCTGTCTGGAATCGGCAGAACGAATCATGTCGCGAACGTTAATTGGAGTA